ACCTCCGGTCAGTATATTTTGATCTATGTCTGTTAGGAGTTTCTATATAGGAACTACCCTATTAAAGTGTTGAGTTCTGTTCAGTTGTTGTTTTGTTATTCGTCTGTCTTTTCTTTAAAATAAACCCCTTGACTACCACCCCCACGTCATACATAACAATTGACGATCAGGATGAGATTCGAACTTACGCGGGGAAACCCCCCTTCGAATTTACCACCACAAGACGCCAGGCGAAGAAAGGGCTAGAAGAAGCCTACGAGCTTAAATTGATAAAGTATTATAATGTATTAAAGGAACGACAAGGGGCCTTTCAGGCTGAATATTTTATTCGGAATAATTGTTGTGTCAAAAAATGGGATTCTTTCAAATTTGATCTTGTCTGAAAATGATGTGAACGCCTTGGTCTTCCGATACCGTTGCAGTTTGGACATGTTGATGACTTTTGAAGCCAGCGGCTTATTTATTTCAACCAGACGTCAAGAAATTGATAAAGATATGACCCATGTCAAGGATCTTTTTAAAGGTCTTAAATTTGTGGAGACACCTGGCTGTAGTCCTTTTGCTCTGGAATTTTTCGAGAAATGTACATCACCGTATGATGCAGCTTACTTGAGCAGTTTAACTGGACACTGCTCAAGGTCTGCTCAGATGCAAAGAGAGATTCATTCGTGTTCAAAAAGTTGAAGACAAATAACATCGGGATGTGGACTGATTTTGTCTCTTTCAATGATTCAAAAATTAGGAATCTTACAGAATGTGAATCTCAGATTCACAATCTAGTATAATACTTTCTAGATTTCTATAACATTCCGTTTTGGGACCACAGTTTGTTTGTCGATGTTGTTGAACGACAAGACGAGATTGGAGAAGATTGTCACCATGTTGAGATATGTTTGTATGGAGGGCTTTGTTGAGTTCCCGTGTGTGCCCAAGCAATACAAAATGATTTCAAAGCTCCTAGTGTTGATCAGAAGTTGGTGCTTGAAAACTCCAAGCAGGTCTGGAAAAATATTGTCAATCCCTATAGAGGGTCCCAGTTGGAATCTCCTTACCAGCTGATAAGTCTATTTTATGTAGCATATTTGAAAAACAAGGAAGAAACTGCTAAGAATTTGGATGACCCGCCTATAAATCAAATTGAGTGTCATGAATTTTCTCCTTCTTTTCTGAAATTTTAATGCCAAATGGCCAAGTCACGTATGGATGCACTCCATGGAAAAAACTCAATAAATAAGGTGGAAAGTGAAATTTTCTATCAGGTTGCTATGACAGATTTGGAAGAGTTATCAACATTAAAAGCAACCTTAAACTTTGGTCCATCTTGGTACAAACAAAGCTTTGTTCTTCATTAGACTTACTGCTTCCTCCTGCACCATCTTTGGAAACGACAGCTGACTTGCCTTTTCATTTCAATCGCTCTCATGGAGCTAGACCCCATGCTTTCCAAGTCCAAGACGCTGTATATGCTCGTCTGTATAATACGCCCCAGAAATAGACGCCCGCCGTCATCACTCGTAGACGAGGAAAAGTCTTGTATGAGCTAGTCACCAATTCTGGGGAACAAATCGTAAGGCACGCTAATCAAGTCCGAGCTTCGGACCAAAAAAGCAAAACGCTTTAAGGAAGTCAAATCAGGAATAAGGAGGCGAGTGAACACAAGGAACGGTCATTGAAGTCCAACAAGAGTGGCCGATCAAGAGCGCGAGCATATTGCTTTACTTCACCAGCTCCACCAGCTCCTCCAACTCAGATCCGTCATTCAGTGAGGAAGGAGATTTCAAGGCTGTTATTGAGCGTGGATCCGCGTCAGCATATTTATCGTTCTTTTGAACCTACTGTGTAACTTTGTTTTCTGAATATTTTAAATGTTCTCATTACATTCAAAATAGTACAGTAAAGCAAGGTTTGCAAGATGGAGGTTAGTCCAATGCAAATAGTGGGAACCCGCACTATTGACTGCATTGGCACCACCACCTAGAGGACGTGCTGCTATTTGTACTCTCATAACATACTGCTTTTATTTTCTTTTTTCTTCTTCCGGAAGGGAGGTGTTATGTTTGCCATAATACATTCTTTCGATATATATAGATCATTATACTTGCCTTGGTGCAAATGTAAGTTCTAACCTCCGGTCAGTATATTTTGATTTATGTCTGTCAGGAGTCTCTAAATAAGAGTTCCCCTATTGCTTAAAGTGTTGAGTTCTGTTCAGTTGTTGTTCTACGTTATTCGTCTGTCCTTTCTTTTAAATAAAGCGCTCGACTACCACCTCCACGTCATACATAACAAAGCTTAGTTTTTATAACAATAAAAAAGCGATATAAGCAAAGACTAAAGGTTAGATTTTTGCACACACTTACCTCGCACTGCGTTTTCAGCATAAGTTTATTACCGATACAAAGATGAAACTACTAATTACATGTTTATAAATAGATGGATAATTTGCTAAAGAATAGTGTCGTAATTGACCGACTGCACTTTAAATCGAATAAAAAGCACTTATTTTAATGTTTCTACTACGTATCTCAAAGAGACCTTCAACTTAATATAAATCTACTATAAGTGGCGAAAGTTGGTTGCTAACTTGAATTATTAACCAAATTGATACGGCTACACCTACAGCACTTCACTGGGAATCGGTCATGTTTATCAGCTGTCTCGTGACTGGACGATCAACAGAAATTTCGACGGTAAATCTTAGTCCAAGTATCCTCGGACATTAAACCACCTAGTTTTCTCAACTTGTTTACCGTTCAACCTTCATCGACTAATCCTTGTAAAACAGAGATAACCTGATACTATCAAAATTACAGCAACAACAGCAAAAAAAAAACCATTTCGGGGACATTCTTGACTTTCTATACATAACAACACCGACAAAATTATCAGTAAAACTGTAGCTCAAAAATACTTAATGCGACCAAATATAAATAACTTGGACTTGGAAGTAGTAGAGAATCATAAATGGTAAATTTTCCAACTGGTTATGCCTTCTCAAATTTGCGAAATTTGCCGATTTGCCTCTCACCATGCTTATCGTCTTGAGATTGCAGTTCAGCTAAATTTAAACAAAATTTAGCAATCTTTGTTTACTAAACTTTTCTATTATTCCGCCTTTGAACACATGCTATATTTTGTTAATTTTGTTGATTAAGTGAGTAAATATAATAAAGGTTCAAAAATTGCAGAAGGACGCTCTCCATAAAATTTTTTAAAAAAGTAATTCTTACAGAATTTTTCGCTGTGCAGCTTATCAAGAACTGATAATTTTTGGGTGAAATTGACAGTCATATCTTCGCATAAGCAAAGTGAGCAATAATTTTTCTTTTTCTTTCGTAGTGATCACATGATGCATTAGGCTACCAAAACTAATGCTAGTTGCTTTCAAAAGATATGAAAAGTTGTTATCAAACAGTAATACGCTAGAACTGCTATCAAATTTTCTTAAAAAGTTATATTTTACGAAAAAGTATCTACTGTTTTCTACTGTATGACAAATATTCGACATTAATGTTTATTACGGCAAAAAAGTTTGAAAGGCAGTGGTTTTCCAATACAAAGGGTATGTTGAAGGCAGTATTTTTGGCTTTGAGAGATGCCTCAAATTCTTCATCTTTGCAATTTTCTGGTCATTTCAAGTATGACACCGAAAAAGTTTATTTATTCTTACTTCAGTTCGTTCAACTTTTACAAACGAAATGCAGCGTAAAAAGATAATTTACTTTTCTGATGACGCTTTCTCTCAGTACAAAAAATGTAAAAAATTTTTTAAACTTATTTCACAAAGCTGGCTGCGGTGTTGACGTCAGTGACACTCCTTTGCTATCATACGTAGCAAGAGTCCATACGATGATGTCTGGGACACTTTGAGAAGGATGACTGCTAGAGCTAGTCTTCAGATGCCTTCTTTTAACCAGATCATAACACTTTTACACTTGAACTGTTGAGTTCAACAAGACATGCATTGTGTAAAAGTGTTTTTTTTTTTGCCAACAGACTACAAGAGGAAGTAATTAGTATTACTGCTAGCGTTTGTAAAGTTCTTCAGATCAGTGGCACTCAGCAAATTTATGCTATTGTCTCATCAACGGCAGGAATAATCCTCGCTAAACTGCACTTCTCTTTTGTGATTGCTATTGAATACCAAATTTACTAGTTAGAGGTTGTTGAAGTCGAAAGAACTCATTGCATATATGCATAGCAACAAGCTGCAAGCAGTCTTACATAAAAAGTAATATTTCAAAACAATTTTGTAGAAGTTGTAATATACCAGTTTTTGATAGCTGCTTTCTATGGTTTTTAAAACCAGCGGATGTTAGTTTTGCTTTCTAAAGTCCAGGCAACTATTGTAAAAACTGTCAACTATTGTCCACTTCGGTTTACTGTTCAACGAATAACTCTCTACCTCATTGAAGGAACTTCGTCGATCTGAAACACATCATAGTGCAAAAGATTCTGCATAAAATAGCTTTTTTTTCAAGTTTAAAAGGCGGTTTTTTTGTAATTTTCCTGGATTTTTGCTTTGGTTATACCTACCCAGTTATTTGAAAAAATCAAATGCTTTTAGGTTTTCTGCTCTCTTGTTCATAGTTCAAAGTCCGTAACATGTGTTCAGAATTGGAAGACATAAAAAACTGAATAGATTATTGACTATAAAGTTTTACTAAGATTGACTTTAACTTCAAGTTTGAGAAAATAGACATAAGGGACATAACAAAACTTAGCAAATCTAAGCACGACCTCATGGAAGATCCACTGTTCCAGGTTCTTTGATAACTTTAAGTTTACGTTATTTATATCTCGTTGTATAAAATATTTTAAAGCTGTAGCTGTAGTGATAATTCTGTCAAAATTATTGTGTGCGTAATTACGCAGAAATGTTCTCAGAGTTGCTTTCCTTAATGTAGCTGTAATAGTCTTAAATTATTCTCCATTTTTTTATTGATTATATCAGTTAGAAACAAATTAAATAAAAAGCAAGTTAAGTAAATTAAGTACTTTAGTACGCATCGACATCTGAAGTAAATCTCACTGAAATTTCTTTTAATTGTCAGTTCACGGGATAGTCGATAAAATAAGCCATTCCCAGTGAAGCGCTGTAAGTGTGACCATAACAGTTTGATTAATACTGCAACCAACTGTTGCCAGCTTATGTAAACATCCATTAGGTTGGTCTCTATTTATTCGATTATCCGATGAATGTGTACATTAACACTATATAACTGTATAAAATTAAAATTTAGTTGCTTTTTCAAGTAATTTTTCTATAATTTATTATTTATTGCAGACAAGTATTGCCAGCAGACCTTCAAGCTTAGAGCGGCAACAAAGCGCTAATCTGCCAAAGATGTAAAAGCTCGGGCATATACTGTCGTCGTTTCTGTATGAAGCCTAAAAATTCTTTGTAATAAAAGCACCACATATGCAATGTAAGTTTTATCTTTTTAAATTTTTCTTTAACCAATATTATTTCTGACTACTGAATTTGTAAGTCTTAAAAAATTTTTCTTCATAGCACAAACCGCTTTTTAAAACTCAGACTGACCTTCTGAACTATTCTGTCTTATTTCTTAAATTTTCCACTACAGTTTCTAACACTCTACACAGCAAAATAAAAATTTTTTAAAGCCCATCTCTGTACTGCTTAATTGTCTAGAGCAGTATTAACCGATTGTCTTTGGTAA